TCTTGTGCAGAAGTAGGTAGAGCATATCTTTAAATCCTTTGATTTTCCTGAAGATAATCACAATGACAACTTGGGAAAACACCCAACCTCTCTACAAGTTGTTAGCATAATCGCTAAGGCAAGAGAGACAACTCCCAAGCTAAGAGGGACAAATTCCAGCCATAAGTAAAAGCGTTACAGCATAAATGAAAAAGATGTGGTCTTGTGCAGAAGTAGGTAGAGCATATCTTTAAATCCTTTGATTTTCCTGAAGATAATCACAATGACAACTTGGGAAAACACCCAACCTCTCTACAAGTTGTTAGCATAATCGCTAAGGCAAGAGAGACAACTCCCAAGCTAAGAGGGACAAATTCCAGCCATAAGTAAAAGCGTTACAGCATAAATGAAAAAGATGTGGACAAAATCACATCCCAAGGGACATGGAATATCCAGCCAAAGACTCGCAGTATAATAAATGCAGGAAACATGGACATTTTCCTATTGTTTGCCACATTAAAGTAATCTGGAACTTGATTCACAAGACAATCAAGAGTCGTTGTTTCTGGGGTTGATCACATGTGAAGATACAGAGCTGCCTGGGGAGTGAAACGAAACATTCAGAGAAATGCTCTTGACTTCAAAATTGATTCAGGAGCAGATGTCGATTTACAAGAACCACGGCAGCTCTGACTCACCCTGACGACATTCTGAATTGCATGAGCCAGTTCACCCCAGAAACCACTTGGAAGGACAAACACTTTGCATTCAGAGGACATGTGATCAAAGGAGCAAACTCCAGCCACATTGACCATTGTGACAAAGGTAGAAAAATGAAAGAGGAAAAGTGACAGAGGATTAATGCCAATGAAATAGCCAAAGGGACATAGACCCATTACCTGGGCATTGAGGGAGCAGGGGGAGTGCACTGGAGGGACAAGGCATTGGCAGCAGCACAGGGAGGGGGACTGGAATGTTGAAAGGAGATCCAGAAAATTCAATTCAAGAGACATTTCAGACCCACGCTGTGTACCTGAGAAAGAAGAACCAACAGAATAAAAACCCTGAAGCTAGCAGAGGCAGAACGAGACGGCAATAATACCCATGATTTCCAAAAGGGGCAACAGCCAGGCCCTGTCACCAATGTCTAGCCAGCCGACCAAGTTGTTGCATTGGGTCAAGTAACCAGAAAAGCGACATGACTGGGAAACACTTAACAGGCCGGTGCACCCTGAGCTACAAAGGCAGCATGATAGGAGGGTGGGAGCAGCCTCTTCCCCAGGGAGGGGCGCTGATCTGGGCTGGGCAGAAGATTGTGGGGCATGTGAGAGGAGGATCAGGTCCAATGGGCCAAGGGAGGCTCAGGGACCCCTGGTGCTGCCATAGTTGCCAGACCCCGGGTTGCAGGACTTTGGGCAGAAAGCTTTTTATGTATCCTGCCGGTGCAGGTTGTGGAAGGGCTGGGGAGAGACGTGACTGGTAAATCCTGCCTGCTCGGCCCCCCAGGGATCTGTGCGGGGCAGAGTGAAGCTCCTTCCAGGGGACAGTCTCTGGGGGTATGTCTACACTACCCCGCTAGTTCGAACTAGCGGGGTAATGTATGCATACCGCACTTGCTAATGAAGCCCAGGATTTGAATTTCCCGGGCTTCATTAGCATAAGCGGGGAGCCCAGTAACAGGCTGAGATTCCATCGAGGAAAGTGCAAGAAAGTCGATGGGAGGGGAAGAGCCTGAACAGAGAGATTCGGGGGCAAGGGAGGGGGGTAACGAGGAAGGAGAAAGGCTTGAAAGGAGCTTGGATGAGAGAGGCCAGAGAGCTCAGACAGTCCTACCGATGCTGGGCATGGTGTGTGCTTGCCCTGCAGTCAGAGGTGTGATTGCACCTGCAGACACACCTGAGCTAGCACTCACCGAGCGAGGTAGCAGCCGGCTGGCAAGAAAGTCGATGGGAGGGGAAGAGCCTGAACAGAGAGATTCGGGGGCAAGGGAGGGGGGTAACGAGGAAGGAGAAAGGCTTGAAAGGAGCTTGGATGAGAGAGGCCAGAGAGCTCAGACAGTCCTACCGATGCTGGGCATGGTGTGTGCTTGCCCTGCAGTCAGAGGTGTGATTGCACCTGCAGACACACCTGAGCTAGCACTCACCGAGCGAGGTGGCAGCCGGCTGGCGTAACAGTGGCAGTGTCGCTGTGTAGCACTGGGCTGGGATGAGGGCTGGCCCCTGGAGTGGGCGACCAGGGTCCTGGGTGTGTCTGTGCGGGCAAGGCCGGTGTGTGCTGCGGTGTCTGCTGGGGCAGCTACGCCCTTCCCAGACCCAAGCTAGCTGAGGTGTGTTTACTGGTGCTGCAATCACACCTCCGGACAGCAGTGCGCTCAGGCCTCCTGCAGACAGCACTTCCCATTGCCAAGGCGCTGCACACGTGAGCAGCTGTTCTCCACACAGGCCCTGGCAGTACAGGCACAAGTGCCACTTTGCTGGCTGGTGAACCCCCCAGGCTGGAGAGCAGTGAATTTGGGTGGTACTGGGAGGGAGGGGGGCACATTCATCAAGGGACCAGTCAGGCTGAATATCAAGAGCTGGTTAAAGCCAGTGAAACTGCCAATGGTACAAACACCGAAGGGACAGAGACCCCGTCACCTGGGCATTGAAATCTGGACTGGACAGAGCAGGAGGAATGTGCCACGGGGACTACTCCTGCATTGGCACTGAGGGGGGGAGGGGTAGGGAGGGAGACTTGACTGGATTGAGCAGGAGGAATATGGCGGAGGGATGAGTCTTGCATTGGCAACGAAGAGGGGTGGGGGTTGAATGGTCTCAGAGGGTTTCCCAGCTCTGGGTTCTCTGACCCTGTGCAAACCCGGCCCTTTGTTTCCAGGCTCCAGAAGATCCTCGGACCCTTTCTCTGAGGCGGTGTACGAGGAGATTGACTATGACCTGATGAGAAAGGTGCAGCTGTTCGGTCGCTCAGGTCTGTGCGTGTCATTTCTAGCAGGGACAAACCTCCAGGCCCTTTGCAGGCTGAAACCCTGACCCAGAGCTAAATCTCCTCAGACTTCAGCCCTGTGAGTCTGGGATGGCTGCTGGCCCTGGCTCTGTGGGGAGACCAGCAGTGACTGGACTCAAACGCAGGCGATTCCTCCGCAGCAGAGCCTGCTCACCTGCTCTCGGGACAGCCCGTCCCTTGTGTCCAGCATGGAGCCGGGGGTGGGGGGGGATCACTAGTTATGGGCCAGGAACGTGTCCTCCTGAAGCCACAATTCCCGTGACAAACAGGTGTCACTCTTGGAAAGTCTGTGCCAGCCCCTTGCTGCTCAGAGTCGCTGTGAATTCAGCATCTTCTCTGGAAGAAGCAACACAGCGAGACCATAAATCCTGCTCCAGGACCTGGCTCTGTCGGCCACTGGCCAGCGCAGCTGCTCTCACTGTGGTAACATCCTGCTTCCCGTCCCTCCAGGCTCCTATTCTGATGAGTCCGTGAGGAAGCTGCCGTATTACACCGGGGACAGCGAGGGGGAAAACGATGCTGGATCAGAGCAAGGTACCAGGGGAAAGGGATACACCAGAGAGGCCCCACCTCTGTGAGGGGAATCAAATTTAAACCTATTTCTGTCCCAGCTTCAGATAGAAACGTGCGATCAATCCTGTCCCCTTCTCTGTGTGGCTCATGGTGCTCTCCCCAGGGGAGGAGCTGCAGGGAACTGGGCAGGGAAATATTTACCTGGCATGAAAGACTCTGAGGTTCATAGCTGGTCTGTGCCACTAACCCGGCCCTGATCTGTGCCCCGTGATCTTAGCTGCCTCACGAGCTTCGCTCCCTATCGCCTCCGTGGCACGAGCATGGAGCCCAAGTCACAATCAAACCTCTGCGAGCAAATCAGGTGGGTTCATAACAGTCAGTGCTGGTGCAGCAGCTGAGATCTTTCAGTGAGCCCGTGGTTAGCTCAGTACCAGCACAGACCCTGCTCCCAGTGAGGGGCATGTCAAGGTGACTATTGGGTGCAGCGGTGCAGGGCTGTGTCCTAGTTATTTTGGAGGAAATGAAGCTGGCAGAATCCCTATCTCATAGGACATCCATGACCCTCCCTTTTCTCTGGGATTCCCCTGGGAATTCCCCTACAGAGCTCATGAGAGACAGGCAAAGTCCAAGGCAACCAATGCTTAATGGAGACAACTGATGCTTAACAGAGCCCTAAAGCCGGCTAGGGAAAGGGGCATGTTCAGGAGATGCTCAGTGTGGGGTTTGCTGTTACAGAGGGAGCTTTTCTTGTAGGGTCCCAGCTGGATTACGATAACGTGGAGGAACCAGCATCGAGCAACATTCCCCAGATTCTGGGCAGTCAAGGTGAGCAGTGAATCTACCTCCTGAAGCCAACGTCCCCCTTGGCTACTGCTGCTCCCCCCGCCCTTCATTTTCTAGTCTGCCCTTTCGTCCTGAGTTCAGGGCCAGGAAGAATTAAACAGCCAGGATATAGCCAGGCAGGGGCATTTCACAATTACAATCATCCCCCCATTGTTTGCTTAAGGACCCATGTTCTTGTCATTTTTCTTTTTGCTTTTTGCTTACATTTCAAAAGCCTCAT